GAGGCTGAGCGGTGATTGCGCAGAAAGGTTAACAAGGTAAACATCTTTGTAGACGTAGTATATCGACTTTTGATGTTCTATGTATTTTAATATCTAATAAAGACCATCTATCAAACGTACGCTTATAGGAAGTCAAGTACCTAGTTAAATGGAAGGATTACAGTTCGTTTTGAAAGTACTTGGGAACCGGACACATCACATTTCAAGAGATCCTTAAGGTAAATTTTATTCATCAGTGTAATGTCAAACTGACAAATTGGGATACTATATCAAGTTTTAAAATAATTAACCCTTTGAATTTTGAAACAAAGGTTGGACATGAAAAAGTACTGTAGTTGTGCCATAATTAGGATGAAGTGTGATAAAGATATGTACAGCACATGCATGAGTTCAGTGTTTGTAAACTGCCAGCCACAGTTGCAGTGTTCATAAGTTTTAATAGAAAAATAGAATTCAAGGCTTATGTCTTCCCTTTGCGCAGTACTGGGCAATTTAGGGGGCACATACTGCAATTTTATTTCTTCAGGAGTTTTATTTTTATATTAAAATGCATATTTTAATACTCCAGGTACTTTGAGAACCCTAAACCACACACTAATGATGTCATAGAATGTGTGGACCGGTTTAAGCAAAGGAAGTTGTTGCTTCCCTCAAACACAGATGGCCAGAACAAAAGTTGACTGTGGAGTTTCGACATGATGTTTATAATTACTTGTTTGGTGGGAAAGGAAAGGCTGCTGAACAAGAGCTGGACATTGTTTGAGGAACAGGATTTTGTAATTGTGGCCTACCCAATAATTGGAATTGCCGCTATGACAACATGGGGATGGTGTAAAGATGCTATTTCCGGTGAAGATGCGGAAATTTCTTGGTAGATCAGCAAAATGTTTTGTGAAAGAAGGAGAAAGCATTGTTGAAGCTCCCGTGCTTACACTGAAAAAAATTTCAATTAACTTTATTAAAGTTGCTTCATAAAGGTAATGTTGGATTAAAAATACATGAAGTGAACCTATATATACATAAACCTATGTAAAGTCAATCTGCTTGGTGACATAGTTTGTGGATAATACAGCACACTGCGAACTACTTTAACAAAGCAGACTCTTTATAAAAGAGAATAATTGAGTTTTTTTTTATATTTGATATCTTTATGCATAATAAGTGACATCATTGGTGTGGAAAAAGTATATTAAAGCAAATTGCAACACTTGTATACATGATATTTGTAGATATTCATATGTCATTAATACCTCACTTGTCAGTCCAATGGTTTCATCTCTCAATTGTAATGTTTTTTGGTGTAACAACCACTAATTATTTCATAACCAAAATATGCAAATTTCCTCTGGCAATGATCCATATTCACAGATTGAAAGCTTAAGGAATTAAAATTTGTAGTTTTCACAAGCAAAATTCACCTACTGGAATAATACCAGTAGCATCTATACATCTGCTTGTTCCCATGAAACAAGACAGTTAAACTCTTGAAGCATTTAGGATGTTTCAATTAAATTTATTAGCTGATGCTTTTTAAACTTTGACAGCCGTCTGTTGAGGCCTTTTTCTTTGACAATGTTGCGTAACTGCATGATCGTTAACTTTCCATAATCCACCGAATTTGTGATTGGGATTGGGGGGGAATGCATATGTCGTGATCATCTACTTGGGGTGTAGCAGGTTGAGAAAGACGTCTTCTGTCTTTCCTTACTCTGCAGATATCTCCTCCCCAGTATTCAGCCTTTCTTTTAATATAAGGACCTTTCACACGTACATGTTGCTTTAAGTCCCACTGCCTGCTCTCTGTTTGGAGGATATCCTTGGCAGCATCCCATTTATTAGATTTTTGGAACATAATTCTTTTGGCGTCGTCGTTGTTTTTTTCAACAGCTTGACCCGTAAACTTCTTAATGCAACCATATTGTTGAATGAAAATTGGAATGTGATAACACATCATGTGCATGTAAGGTGTGACTCTATCCCTTGTATAGCCAGATCTAGTATTTCTTAAAGAACAAAACAGTTCAATCCATTTTATTGCTTTGTTAATATTGATGCTGGATGAATCACATGTCAATTCAAAATTTGTGATCAAATCATAGTAACTTTGAAATCTCTCCATATTTGAGTTACAATTTCACATGTCTCAGGGAGATAATGATGCAATATATCAGGGAGTTTGTTTAGCAAGGTTTTCTTTTGGCCCCCACTAAGCTGGTGTGGTCTTCGATTTTACTTCTTGATCCATCTGCATTTTTCTTAAACCAAACTGAAAAATGGTACACCTAATTCATTTATATTGTCTACAAATTTTTTTAACAGTGTCCCTTTGGGTTGAGTATTTGGCTTGTTAAAATCTGCAATCACATCCCGTTCAATTATTTCATCAATTATGTTTTGAAGCAACCGGTCTGTCACCCTTAACAATAGGTGTAACTCATCTGGCACTACATGGTCTAGCTCTATATCAATCAGGGGGGGACGGATACACCCAAAATTTTCTCCACTAGTTTGCCACATCTCTTTGAGTTCAGCCAAATTTCTCCTTTGTTCCCCCTCATTGTAAAAGTTCAAGGGCTTGCTTGTGTCCCATCTGTTTTGTTTGTGCACCTTACACCATAAACAGGCATAATTTGATGAAGCAGAGTTTAAGCCCATTATCATTAACAAGAATTTAAGATCACCACCAAGAAAGAACTCCAATTTGATTTCTTTACCATCAATTAATATAAATCCTTGATGAATAAGTTCATTAATTTTTTGAAAAAATTAGGTAGTGAGTCCTTCAATGTCTCATAGTCTTCAGGTCCATTAATTATTGCAACCGTTCTATTATTCTTTGATGACATGACATTTTCTTCAAGTTGTAGGAGTGCAAATGAGAACATCATGAAATTCGTAGTTCTGGACATTCGGGCACCATCGCCACTTAACTTTATTTGGATTGTTTCTCTCTCTAACTCTGGTTTTATGACTAGTAGATCTTTTACATGGTCCATTAGGGTAGATGTAAAATTAAGTTTGCACCTAAATACTTTCCTTGTGTTCTTTCTATAGAGTATGTCTTGTTTAAGTCTGATCTTGACTTTTTGATAATGTAAGATTTTGGTAGACCATCTGTAATCATGGATAGTTCATGGTAAGCTTCATCAGCTATACAAAATTTGTCCAATAAAAAAAATTTTTCAATATTGTCCTCGTTATCTTGGCTCATACCTGGTACACCACTGGATGCATCATAGTCTAGGGTGTGAGAAGTACCCTCTTTATCTTGGAGTGTAATATTTGAAAGCTCTAGACCGAAGCTTTTTAGAAACCAAAGTGCACATTGTGCTTTGTTTTTAAGCAGCCGAAGTTTTCTCACTTTTTGTTTTTTTCCTACCTCTTGAAATGTTCTCCCTTGACAATTTAACGTGTCTCTCCTTTCAAGTGTTTCGATGTAATCAGCAAATTCGCTGTTTTCATTTTTAAGTTCAGCAACTTCCTCCTTCAAATTATTGACTTCCTCAATAATTTCTTCATATAGTTGCTTCTTCGCATTTTCTAAATCAGGGTAGTTCTTCTTGTACTGTTCAAATTCTTGACTGCATTGGCTTGCCTGTAATTTGTACTCTTCTGCTGACTCAATCTCTCCTCTTTGAACACTGATTCTGTAAACATTGTGTTCCAACTCTTTCTTCTTCCTTCCTTTGGCCTTTTGAATAGTAGTTTTGACATAGCTAGCTTGTTTCCGAAGCAACTTTTCTATACGTTCGCAGTCGCGTTTAATAGTAAACCATCCGTCCACAACACTTGCATTGAGGAAATCAATATAATTTACATATCGAATATCTACGGAAGTGACGTTTAGAAGCGAGTTCCAAAATTGGAGCAACCCCCATGGAATATCTAGAGTAAATAAAATCTGCCTCCTTGAATCAACTTGCCGATTTACATACGTTAAAGGCCCTTCAGTACTTAACTTCAGCTTCCAGTCGATATGAAGCTTCTTGTAACTTTCCAGAATGTCAGACATATTTGATTTTTGAATTTGCGCGCGCCAAGGCGCCACTTGTTCATGGCCATTTATGACTCTCCAGAGCGCAATATTACGCAATTTTTGGGCTCTTTTTCGCTTTTAAACTGTGAACTAGATTTAAATTAAGTTTAGAAAAAAACATGGCTGCTCGAAAGTTTAGAAGCCTTTCTTTACATGGCGGAGAAAATTTCTTTCTTTCTTCAAATGTATATGGCCGGATGCTTAACACACTGAAGAATTATGAAATTTCAAACGCTGTGGGAACCGTGGCGGTAAAAAATACGAAGATATTTATGAGTTTATCGGTAGCTATATCACAACTAAAGACATTTCCAACTCCGAACTTTGCATCGTCCAAAAGGAAAGTGGTGTATTTGACCAGATTGTAGAGCATGTTTACCGATATTACTATGCTTTATATAGCCGAATCATTCAAATTGGACTTGTATATAAATCGCACTCAGGAACCTCGAGGATTTGCAAGTGAGTGAATATTTTTTGTTATAACTCTTCCTTTCTGAGCGATTTACAGAATTCGAACTCCGAACCAAGAAAAAACACACATAGGAAGCGTAATTTAAAGTTTTGTGATTAAGCCATATTGTTTCGCATGAAATTTGGCCGCCATGTTTGTTTTTATCCGAATGCAAGACGCCATCTTGTCCCAAATTTCTGGTAATGTACTATACGCATAAAAACACTCCGCCCCCCGGAGTTTACACTATGACTGATTGACTGTCTGACTGTCTGATGTGAATTTTCGCCACTCACCACAATACTGCAAAGTTTCACAGAAACTTTGCACTAAAAAGAGTAAAACTTGATTAAGCTTCCTAGTTAACTATTGTCAACGGTCAAAAACGCATATAAAGGAATTTCAGAGAGTCGGAAATCTAAATATTTTCGGTTAATTGTGCAGCCAGCCCCCCGAATTCCCCAAGAAGGCAAGAGCAAAATCTGTTTATCATTGTTTAGTTCTATTATCTTATATGCATGGAAAGTAAATCATTAAACTATTGAAAGTAGATGGTTGAAAATAATTTCTTGATAACGAACGCTTACAATATTCTCTCCAACAATCCAATGTCAGCAAACCCAGGCGTCGAAACTCGACTAAATGTGAACATAAACAAAAACAAAATATATACATATGGTGCATTAAAACGATAGTAAAGGATCAACACAGTTCAGAATTTGCTGTCGATATGACATACACACGTAAAAATAACACATCTTGTAACAAATCTGATAAAGGCAGCTTATACCACACCCGCTTACCTTCAAAATCATAAAAATTCTGTGATGTTCTTGAATATAAAATATCACACGAACGCGTGTGAGATATTGCTTCTCTATATGCGATTGCAAACCATTTAGAAGGCGACTAAAATAACGAAGGAATCTTCTGTTTATAAAGTCACAAAAGACTTTCTTCTTTATATTAGGAATTTCGTTACGAGATTGCACATGCCATATAGCTTTCTCAAAGAGCAATGCATTTACAGATTTGAGCTAATAGTTATGAAAGAGGAGAACTCCCAAGTTGAAAATGCTGAGGTTAAATCCAGGTTATACTGAACAACGGGCAGTTTAGAGCGATTGAAAAACACTATCCGTTGGATAACGCTATTCAACTTTCCTACAACCGACCTCAGATGCATGAGATCCATGTAAATAGATCGGGGCCTTGTTGTATGAAGGCTGGGTAGCGTTATAAATGAAGGAGTGACTTTTTCAAGCGTTATAAAAATGTCCGAAAAGCAGTGAAACTACAGATTTTCAGTGAACAATTATTAAAGCGAATCCTCAATTTTGGAATACTAAGGTTAACCCACGTTATACCAAACAATAGCCAATTTTTGAGCGTTTGAAAAACATCATCCGGTGGATCGTGATCTATCCAGCTTTCGTACGACCGGCCCCAGTAATCAGAGGCATTTGATAAAGAATAAGAAGTTTGCTAAACGGTTAGATGGGCTGGAGGAATTTTTTGCTGGTGCTAGTTGTTACGTTAGCAGCAGGGACCGGTTGTATATCACGCCCGTTTAGCTTAAGATAAGTAAAATTTAAATAACACCATACAATCATGGACAAAACCTGTTAATAACACTGTTGGTGAAGTATAATTTTCATTTCATTCCGATTAACTTACTTGTTTCATGGGATATTCTCCCCCCATCCCCTTGGCAATGTTGGGTTTAGCATGCAAGCAAAGGCAACGTGACAAGATATCCAACATTGAATATATATAGTTGTAAACAGTATCTTTGTATTAAGGTTAGTTTGCTTGTTGAATAAAACGATAGACTTGTTTTCTATACTAAACAGGCTTGATACAACCGACCCCTGATGTTTTATATGCGTTCTTAGAGCAAAATCGCATTGATTTCATGCAAAAGGTATTTTTTAACTAAATTTTTAAATTTTTAAACGAAACACATGCATGCACAGATAACAGATTTATGTAATTATACAATAACTATCGCATACCTCCAGATCAATATGTGACCGATGTTTTTAAACATATATAAATATTTTGAAAGGGTGCAAAAATATACGTTTAGATTCATGGTATAGATTTATACACTATTCACAAGCACCATAACCATTACTGTTACTCGATTTAGCAATTTAGCATGATAATATTAAATAATTCATAATCAATAATTAATCAGAAATCAATCAACGCTACACCAGGAAAAGTCCTGATGAACATTACATTTTCTTCAGCATATTTGTATACCTTTCTTTGGCTGGGAGTACATTGTTTCTGCCTCACATTTCCAGAAAAACAAGGCCGTAGCTAGGATGATCACATCGGCAATGAAATATTAAAGTTTTAAGTAGGATATACGAATGCGATTGTCGTCGTGAGAGGCGTTTGCATGATGACGTGATGTGGCGTAACATTTCAGGCCGGTTTAGATGCTCATCATGAGCTGAACTTAATGCAAGCCAGTTCAAATTAGGTTCTGCTCGCAAGAAGCATTAGCCCTAAACTACTACAAGGTATAAGGATCAAAGGGCCTTAATTTCGAGTGGAAATCAGACACAACTGAATTCAAGCCAGAAGCCTTTGCAATGCCCATAAGTAATAAGTCTGCAGAGTGTGTAGCTAAGTGCATTAAAACTTTTTCGTGCAGGTAATTGATTATTTTTGAACAACTTATTAACTAGTACATATCAGATCACGAGTGAGATCGACTGATATTGGGCAAAGGGGATGGGTGAGACTGACTGATGTTTTATGAGGCTAATGAAGGGGATGAATGAGACAGACGATTGAAAATTGAATGATTAATCATCAACAAACATGCTAGGCTTCCTGCGGAGTCACAAGTCACAAAAAACGGTTAAAATAAGGAAAATTTGTGCTCATTTCATCTTATACAACAGAAAATTACCCACAATTACAAGAAATCCTTGCGTGACACATTTTAACAACGCTACCTGTTACCCAAACAGTTTTCTTTGCTTTAATATTTATCCAGTTTTTTGAGGGATCGTTAAGATTGGGGGAGAACTGAGCCCGCCGTGCTACGTGCTCAGTTATCCTCCCAGGCTGCACATGCGCACTTGTTACAAGGAGAGTACTCAGAACCGGGGAGGACTGAGATCGTGACACCGGTGCATGCAATGCTCTTCCTATTGAGCTACAAAGGTAGCTGACAAGTGCGATCGTGGTTATAGTGCGGATATTAGGAAGGTAATCCCTGCGATTAAATTCAAATACTACATAATACTACATGTATATTACAAGTATACGATTGTTGTTCCTGATAAAACTTTCAGGCCATGCACTACTCACGAGTGAGTTTTTCAAAACCCTAAAGTTGCACGAGTATACATAAAATTGTTCGACAGGAAAAAAATTCATACGACATAGCTACATTACTGATTAAAAGTATTCAAACACTGTTTTTACAGCCCTCATGAAAATCCTCATATCTACTTTAAAACAAAAGCAATTTGTATAAAATATTACATGTTCCAGAGCGAGATTTTTCGCACTGTTCAGCAGTTATTTTAACTTACTATTTTAAACCGGAAGTACATTTTTAACCTAACAAGTGCCATTTACTACCTTTTTAAGTTTATTGTTTAATTGGGAGGATATATTTGTGAGAATATCGATGTTTTAGGAAGAATGAATAGTAAAGTGTTTGTATTTTTGAATAAAGATCGAATAGGGCCAGTAAGATGTGTATAGTTTTCATTGTCGATCAAATTATGGCCGGTCAAAAAAATAACAAAACATTTAAGCATTTTAAAAATTTATGTCCAACACTTTTTAAGTATGCCTTGTCTACAAGTATTTGGAATAGGTTCTCTTAATCTCAGTCAATATCTGCACGTGGTAATTTACAACACTAAAAGACCCACGTTGTCAGGTTTTGAATATTTAATGTTTTATACTCATTTAAAAATTTATGCACTTAAAAACTGTTCTTTGCACTAAAAGGCCTGATTATTCGGGAAAAGTGAAAAAGTTCTAGCAATCAAATTAATACAGTCATGAATTGAATTTTAATTGAATTTTAAAAAAAGAAGTGGTAAATGCCACATCTTTGGTCATAAATCTGCTTGCGAGTGACCAATTAATTCCTAAAACTGCTAGGGAGTGCATAATATGACGCTCTAGAATCTAAAAATAGTCATGCTTTTTTGTGAGGGCCAAAAAGAGGTGTTTGAATACTCAGTACTGATCAGTACTGTATTTCAATTTTATGTCTTGAGCCTACATGTACAAAGTTTATATATTTTATATTCAGAATATCAAAACTGAAGCCTAGCTCACATTTTAATGGTTGTTTAACGGTTCGTAGCGAGTAAAGGTTTTAGCACGAGATTAAGGAAAACGCTTTTTTTTTTCCTTGTCAGGAAATTTTCGACAATTATAAAGAACGTTTCTTTACCGATTTTATTTCCTACGTCAGTACATGTACATAAAACTGGCTGTATCAAAAATGGTAATCAAACTTCAGCATGCAGTTGTGAGTGTTGTCGGAAAACTACACTATACTAAATAAATAAAGCATGCAGGGTCGAAACTAGGGCGATAATTCGGGGAAGGGGTGGTGATAATTTTTTTATATGATGTTCTGCCCAACGGATTTCTTTTGAAAACGCGCATACATATACAAAAGAGATCTGTCAGACAAAAGGATATACGAATATGTATCCCCCCCCAATTACAGTATCACATCTATAGTTTCGATCATGCAGAAAGCATAATTAATCAGAGCAAAAAAGTAAAAGAAAAAAACCCGTGCTGAATTAAGTTGCATTGCTGCTTAAATGTATAAGAATAGAAATTTCGGTTCGTTAATCAACCGGATAACTGTGCAGTAATATAATTTAGCAAAAAATAGTCTACATGCAATCTAGTATAAAGCCCCGTAGAGACGGACGAATTTTCCTTGACAAATTTTCCTTGCCAAGTTTTGTTTGCTCGTGCATTTGTACGCGAATATTATCGCCCTTAGCAAACCTTATTAAATGATTGATAAAAAAAAACTTACCAGGTGTTTTGTATACTTTGAAAATATTGCGGCGAGTTTATCCGCATTGTAATCAGAACCTTGTGGAAGACAAAACTATATAAGATGAAAGGATTATCAAAATTCACCGTTAGAAATTGATATGGACCTCTCTGTAGCCTGTAGCAGTACCTAGGTCATCTCAATGAAGAGGTCAGATTCACTCTACCTATCAGGGCGTGCTCTGCTATAGTCTGTTATCTATATCATATAAGTTCACCTTGAGAACTTTTAAAACTATAATATGTCTATTTATATACGACTATATATAGGACATAAATCATTAGAGGCATCGTAATTGCCCGTATAGTAGGTAACAATTTGATTAAGAGACAAGTGAAATATGATATTGTTCAAATTGATTGTGTTGTCAGGTTTTATTGTTAAGTTCAGTACTCTATTAAATATTACCAAACACAACAGAAATGGTAAGAAATCCAGGAAGCCATCCGTGCGGCAAGTGTGATGGCGTGTGCATGACGCGTTCATTTTGGAAAAACTATCCCTAGTAATACTTCTGATTATACATATTCTGTGAAAGAGAAGGTGCCATCTACGCTTTTTCATATAGAGGCAAAGCGCCAGAGAAGGTAATCACTTTACCTTATAAACCTGCAGAGTACTGCACATGAGCTCAATGCCATCACCAAACCCAAAAAATCTCGGGTCCTTCACGAGTGAGTTCTTAGGTAGTTTGTGAATATCGTAAACATTTGTACATGGAATAGATACGATGATGTCATGTTGAACAAGATCTGTGAAAGTATAAATGAAAATCACGCGTACATATGCAAACGTTTTAGGCCGATATTAGGGACCTTAAGCATGTAGGACGGCAACACGACGACGACGTGGTTGGAATACTCCTTTGAATTAATGTTATGATAAAGCGTTGTTGTATATTAGTGTACCAGTTTAATGAGATTTAAGACGTTGAAAACATTGTGTTTACGTTTTTAGGGACAATTCTATAGAGCTAATTCGAGGTGGCGCTCACTGGGTCCTGAAATGCAGACGTTCTACATAGGACGTAATAAACGACGTTTTGCCGTTGTAAACAGAACGTAGATCACGCGCCTAAAACTCCCATAGCTAATTAATAATTCATTTCTTTTCAATGAAGCATTGTATTGATAGCTGCCGTCGTCGTGTTACCGTCCTACATGCTTAAGGTCCCTATTCACTGACACGGTCCGCCAACGCTACGCGATTTTTACGAATTTCTGAGGTTTCAAAAGCAACAAAAAACAGCAAAAGCAAGTTTGATCATGTTATGATATTCTTGATAATTACTGAAGGATAGCATACTTTGACATGTCTGGGGCCCATAGCTCTCAAAATTTCCCTCCAGAATTGAATTATTTTGCTTAAAAAAACCCCAAAAATTCGCGTTGCGTTGCGCCCAGTGTGTGTGGGCCTTAAGCCTGTTTTCCACCAGGCGAATTTATTTGCGCGATGCGATATCTGAAATGCGGTGCGGTGATTAGTTTGCGAAAAAATTTGCCGCGAAAAAGAAGAATCGCTTTCTACTTTTTATCAATCTGCACGAATAAATTGCCTATTGGAAAACGGGCTTTATACCACATAGTTTCTTTCGAAATTGTAAGACCAGTACATGTGAGTGTCAGAATGTTTTTTAGGTCAACGATTCTGGAATCGACATCACGTCCACTGGTACCAGAGTTTTCCAAAACTATTTAATAACGGACTTTGATGGACTTGTTCAGAATATATAGGTTTTTTATATAACCTTTAGATTTCCAGCTGAAACAGCTTGCTTGATATCCAAGCGTTTAAGTTCGAATCGTCTGTACCGCACATTTGAATTAACTAAGTCCGAAAATAAATCTCGCAGAGCACTTACAAATACTCTTGACTAAATCTATAGGGCGGAGAAATAAGATAGAGTTGAATGGTTAGGATTGGTTATTATTTAGTACACTTTCTTTAAAGCGGCCAAAATGATCATATCGAATTGTCGTGAACAAGCCACCTTACCCGATATGAAATAGTCCGAATGAAAAAATAAGTAGATGAGATATAAGGTTGTATGCGTGCAGCATCTGTTTACCTTTCTCTGTTTCATCGGATTCCGGTGTGTCTACGGGCTGTAGAGAAATCAACTTACAATTGTCGTCTAAATTTTCTCCACAGGAAGTTTGAACGACGTTATTTTCATGTGATCTGTTCAATGTAAATTGTGACTTTCCCTTGTAAGTCGATCTTAACGTGCGACTGAAAATAGAAGAAAAAACCTTGGCCTTAATTTACGAAGAATAACCCAGAGAATGATTTATATATCTTTGTCTTATATATATTACTCGGTCTTGTGAAAACTGGTGGGCGATCCGCTCCAAACAATTTGCTACTCGACGAATATGAATCAGCCGTATAATGTTTAGACCAGGGGCACATTATGAGTTAAGGGCATCACTGGCTCATTATAGAGCAAGTTTAAGACAGGTGATGATTACCCCATGCACTTTATAAAAAAACTATCTTTTGCATGACTGTTACTTTACCATGATTTTGAATGTTGCAAGTTCTTTTGGAAATGCTGTGCTTTTTCTCTAAACCTCTCAAGTGTATCTGAAAACCCTTTCTTTTTCCCAAACTGACTGCTATTTTTCTTGGATACAAGGGATGTATGGTGGTCACCACCAATGGCCTCGTCTTCTACATCCTGAAGGAAAATGGTATTACCGGTTCCATGACCATTGCAAAATTGCAACAGAAAACTGGAATGCTTACAACAAGCTTGGACCCAATATGTGTTCTAGTATACCACACTTGATAAAATGAGTAGAACTTTGACAATTATTGGCTTCCTATACAATATTCATTGGGGACAACTAAACATTTTTTATGCATCAGCTTGTATTCCATTTGGTATTCGGTAGTACTTATCATAGTTGGTAAGGAAAAATTTGTATTCATATGTTACTAAATCCGCTATATTTTAAGTCAACAATGTACAAAATTATTACAAAAGGCTGCTTTGCAAAAGGCTGTTTTTTTAAATTTAATTTTTGAAAATTAAGAACATTTAAAAACTCGATTTTACAGAATTTAAATGGCACAAGACCAGGAATAAGTATTATTGGTTAAACTGTTTAAAAAATTAGGCCAAAGACAAATTCAGGTTTGAGCAAAGTAAACATACCGGTGATGAACCACTGAATATAACTCTAAATGTTGTAAGATGCAACGTTCCTTCCACAGGAGAGAGATATGTTTCAACACATATTGCATCTTGCTGCAGCAAAATCTTCTCACCAGGTAGTAATGTTGGATGTTTTGACAATTTCTTATTGGTAGCTGGAGCAAGGAGTGGCTTTAAAAAAATGAAGGTATAGAGGTAATATATAATTGAGTAGCAAATCATCTGCTTTTATTAACAGAATTCAATTTAATAATGAACTAATAGTGTTTTAGGAATCAGAACCATGTATTATAGTGATTATAATTTTTTCCAGGCATTAATGACCTTTGACTGTCAGGACATTTACATGAACTTGACTAAATGCAGTAATACAAAAAGCTCACTGGTCAGAAATCATTATTTGAAGTTTGTGCACATTTTTTAAAACTGAAAATTCCAAATAGATAAAAACAGTGTAAAAAAAGAAATGCCCATGTATTAATTTTTTGGTTTATTTGTAATGTGTATTTGTATGCACAGCCAAAACCAAAAATTCTTAAGAGGTCAAGGCTCTGCAAAACATATTTTCCTCCAAGGTCCTAAGTAAAAATATCTTACTACATACTAATAGCTCTATTATATATAAAAGATAGCAAATTAAAAAACTAGTGAATAAAATGCAAAAGATTGAAAGCACTAAAATTAAAATATGTTGTCAAAAGGTGCGTTTGACTTTTTCCCATTATCCCTGATCGGTCACCTATTAATCCCCTCTAGGGTCTGGATCTGCTTTGGGAAGATAGCAAAAATTCATTATTTGTGTAATATGATCTTGACCAAAACTCATTAGAAGGAGGGTTTTCATCTATTATTATACAAATTGTATTCTTCTATATTTATACCTTATATTTTTCATATCACAAGTTAAGTTATTTCTTTAAACAAATCCATACAATAAGTTTGGCATTGTATGTGTTTCGGGAAGATTGTTCATAATATTAAAATATGGAACTGCCACCTCCGCAATAGATATAATCATAACTAGGGATCCAAGAATAGTGCAAAGTTTTCATGCCCTGTAATACCTAAGCAACCAGACGTTTGTCCCAACATAAACATTTTGACTTATGCCTGTAAAAATATAACGAACTAGGTTAAACATTAATCAAAAGGAAATTACTCAAAGTACTCAAATGACGTTAGCCGCGGATACTGTCACTATTAAATTATAGCTAATTTTAGTTGCCCATGTAAACCGGCCAAACCGGGCGCGATTTTCTCAGTGTAGTCTCTTTTCTTCGTCAAACAACTGTGACTACATTCACTACATTTATATGACGGCACCAATTTATCCGTCATTTCATAAGAATAGCCAAAATAGTTGCGTTGTAAATAATGTAAATAAACCGCGGTGCATATTATGTATATGATGTGGATACTTCGACGCGTAAAATCGATACAAAACAATATACTTATAATCAATACTGTATACCTCCAAAATGATTTGATTACTGCACAAAATGTCCGTTTTGTATAGTATCATTTATGTACTGTATGCAGAATATCAGGTATCGACTTGCTATCGACATAATATACATTCGTGTAAGAGTCTATCAATACATATTAAACAACACAGCGTCGTTTCTTCCTAACCTCTTAGCTCTATTTATGGAATAAACCTTCCAAATTATATTTGTGTTGAATTGAATGCTCGTAATTCATAACATAAGTTGATAAAGTGCGTAGATTCTCAAAGATTTGCTCGATTTTTACGCCCGGAATGTTTTGAAGCAATGCTCGTCGCTCCTCGTTTCTTTACATCGTGAATAATGTTCAAGTCTCGACGGCACATGCGCAGTTGCGACGTGTAAGAAAGAATCGGGTGTTCCGGGGGGTAATTTTTGCAAATCCCTTTAAAACAAAACCCAAACCGCGGAAAAGCAATGCTTCAAAATTTACAGTAACCGCCAAAATCCCTCAATATTTTGGTGAACTTTGCAGAACGGGTATAGTGCATTAATAAATAAAGCATGTTAAACTGATTTATAAACCTTAAATTACTGATCATACACAAAAAGTTACTATACGCATAAATCAACCTACCCCCCGTAAAGTTTACACTATGACTGACTGACTGACTGACTGACTGTCTGACTGACTTACTGACTCGTTTGAATTTTCGCCACTCATCACAATACTGCAAAGTTTCTCAAACTTTGCACTAAAAATGGAGAAGCCACTGTTCGAAAAGTTCGTGTCTAACAGAACTTTGGTAAAATAATTTTCATACATGTAATTTGGTTGCCATGTCTAATGATACATAGTATAGGGCCTGGGGCAGAATTACCAGGTTGAATATATGTGTTGTTTAACCTTCATTTCACTGTACAGGGTGAAATAAAAAAATAATGTCATTCTTTACATTTATTAGAATATGTTGAAGACTTGTACAAGACAATGCTAAGTGCCGAAAGTGATCAGGTGGATGAGGCATACAAGGAGTTGGTAGATATGACACCAGATCCCATGAATTCTATGCTGCAAAAGCAACCAAGAAATGAAGCCATAAAGAAGATGCTTGATCGTCAAGAAATGGTTGTTGTCAATGTCAGACCCACTGCAGGTATTCCACATTTGCAGTATGTGTACTCTTTTCAAGGAATAAAAATATAGAGTGACAGTGGGAAATACAATGCAACATAAATTGTATGGGTATGTATAATAGTTAAGTATATTAATTTTATTTATTTTTTAGAGCCTTCTACTGTGCAGGTACAACCGGTAGCTCCTTGCGAGAATCGAGCAAAACCATGCTGTAGAACATGTGGCCAACCCATGAAAGGCCATAAAAAGGTTTCCAACTGTCCTCGAAACCAGAAGTAATGACAGGATGTATATATGTATATTTGTAAATATTTAATTGGTTCCTTAGTGATATTAAAATGCCTCATACTCAAGAACTTTGTTCTCAATTACAAAAGCTTTCCCAAAAAAGACAAGATGGAAAGCACTGGCAGGATGAGGGGAAATATTATTATGGAAGCCACTATTACAAGTCACTATTACAACTAGTATTACAAGTCATCCATCCCCGGTGATGTTAAATAAGCCTATAATAAGCATGTGTTTGTATAAAATTTTAATCCAATATTTTAAAACCTTTTCTTACAAGACTTTTAAACTAACAAGGCTGTGAAAGAAGAATTATATAGTTAGTGTCAAATATTATACCAAAGTATCTACATTAAATTAAGATGCGTTTTCGTCATCATCATCATCATCATCATCATCATCATCATCATCATCATCATCATCATCATCATCATCATCAAATCCCTGGTATTCCTTTCCACTGAATTTGCTGCGTATTACATGATAGGCACATGCAGGCAGTGGTATTCGTCTTTTTCCTAAGTAGCCATAAACAAGTTGTATATATTGTCTGTATGCAACACTTCGAAGATATCTGCAGAGTGAAACAAAAAAATATGTTGTTTACTTATTTGAGAATACTGAGTTTTCTATTATACCCATGTAATCAGTGCATTGTTAGCCAGGGATCAAGGTATTAGGTATGGAGCAATGCTGCATGTGCACATTTACTGTAGCCTAGCAGACTAGGATATGTAAACAGAAATCCATATTGTAATGCATTTCAAGTTTGATTGTTTAGTGCTAAAGTTGATGGGTTCCTGTAGAAGCATTGCACTGTTTATATAAACACAACATTGACTATTGGTACTACAAGAAGACATATATTACAACTCCATTCGGATCTTTACCTGTTTTCGTCGCTACCCATTTTATACTTTTGTCTGTCGATTCTTCTAAACTTTGGCCCAGCTAAAGCGCAATGACCAAATAGATAAACACACATCGCTAAAGCCAGGATGAAGTGTGATGCATTTAGGGACCGCACTCATTTCTTGCATGATAATATCACTGCTGAGTGCCTCGCCACAGCCTTCTACTTCTTGGCAACATTTACTCTCTTTTTCGTTTTGCAACAAGTCGGTTTTACAATTCCCACATCCACACCTGCGGAAGGAAAAATGTAATAAAATAACCTAATACTGAACACGTGAGTTTAAACAGTGTAGGTAGTTTTACTCACCAGCCTTCAACAGATACACGTCCTTCGAGCCGGCCTCTAAGTACTCGAAGCCTATCGTCTTTGATTGCGCCTTTCTTCGTAATAGTTTTCTACCCATTCAGTGTCAGCAATTGGTTCGTCTTGGTATGGTTGCATTAATTCTTGATCGCCTTGTGCTTCGGTAGCCAAAGGAGCGTCATCTTCAACTTCCATCATGTAGCTCGTAATAAAATTATTTTCTGATTCACTTTGGCTATCGATCGGATCAGTAAAGCTCGACGACATTGTCGTATCCGCCAAATTAAGCAAAACGCGGCAGGAAAGTTGGAAAGATACAACTCAAAGTCTATCTTCGCTCTTGCAATATGTAAAATATAGTCTTTTATAACTTTGCAAGAAATGCGAGTTCTCGAAATGACGTCACAACCCGTCTCACAAGCGTTCTCGCCCTAGTCCTTTTAGGGTCACGGTTTTATTCAAAATCACCAACTTTGAGGTCCTCAAAGTCAATGAAGATGAAATTTTCGACCTATCAAATATATTGCAAAAAACTATCTAAAAAGTCTATTTCCCCAATCATGACATAGGCACTTAAATGAGTATTGCTGAAATTAATGCATCCTATAGACGACCAATTTAAATAGGCAATAATTATTAAAGACTTATGTATAATTGTTTGTGAACCACAATTTTTCATTTTTGTAGCTGAAAATGGTTCCAAGATTTTTAACATTTCTTGGATAACCAAGCAATGGGCTCTCGTAAGAATCCAGCACCAGGGCAAAAAGGAATGGGCCGAAATCTCGGTCCGACCAGTTGTTTACAAAGACAAAATTTCCTACGGAAAATGGAGACGAGTGTTCTTACACTCCGTAGTGAAGATTAAGACAGCTCAAGATGGTGCCCCAAGCACAATGGCATTCATAAACTTACCATCTGACGCATCATATGAAGTTCGAATGATGCCAATGAACCCCGATGGTGAAACCAGAACAGCTGTATATATGTTTTTAGATGCACAAGAAACCGCCGATAAAGGTTTGAACACAATAAAAAACATAAAATATATCTTGAATACAGGCAACCTGTCATGATTCTTTACTAAGAAAACCTGGATATGTTAGATCACTCTATAAATGTGCTTCTGAGAGGGGTCATTATAATTCGGAGTTATCATATGTGGAAGCGGATGAAGCATTAGACGTATCATGATGCATCTTGAAACTCAGAGGCGTTTGCATTTAATACCATGCACGTGTCAATACCAGAGTCTTTTTTAGTAAAGAGTTATCGGTGTTCGTACTAGAGGTCAACCTAACTTTCCAACACACAACTTCTTTATAGACTCCGTGCAGTATTTCTATGTATTTCTGAAGATCATTTGCGTTATTCTTTATGTCGTTCCAGGAGAGACAGTGAGTTCAAAACGTGTTGGCACAAATGAAGAATTTCAAGGTTACTCGTGGTGTCAGTATTGGCATGGTTGGTGGATGCATCGCGGTGCTTCTCTCCAGACTATCTGCTATTGTATCATGGGGTAAGATTATTCAGATTACTTGTATACATGTTGTTCTTCAGCAAAAGCGGCTGTATTCAAAAAGTCAATAGGGTTATACAATTTGATTCGATAAATAAACTTTAACCAATCTGGTGAACAAAACATAGATCATCAATTGTAGAAACACCATGTACGTGCATGTATTTTATATGCGCCGCTTTCGGGCCATTAACCCTGAAATTCATCAGTGCAATAAACTTTTGGACATATTGTAACAGCCCTATACACGTCCTTTGAATGGTTTAACTTTAAAGTTTCAAGATTTAATCATCCTATGCACTATAACTTATATGATTTAAAGATGAGCTTGGTATTTTGATGTTTCTTTCGAGAGCTGTGTTCAGTGTAACAGAATTTCACAATGTTTCATTGCTTTTCATTTGTGGCTTTTTAGAAGCTGCGCTAAATGCGCAAAGAAGCTGCGCATCCGCAGAAACAAATGCTGACGTGCCAACTGACGTCGTTATTGACATTGAGAAAGATAACGAGGTAAGTGTTGCTCGTATTCCACAAAAATATGACCATACGAGTAGAGGAAGAAATGGGAAGATATAGCGTTGTTGTTCCCTTTGAAGTGCCGAATTCTAAAATAATTAATTTGAAAATCGCGAGCTGGAGATCTTTTAGAGACAAAACAATGGACAATTTCCGGGTCGGAATACTTTCAAGAACAAACTGAAAGTACTAAAATGATGTAAAATACGGAAAATATATGCTGGTAAAATGCGAAATGTCATACTGAGAGAAAACGTCAATAATTCCGGCTCAAAAGTGCGTACTCTTTTTCTTTTTAGATCGAACAAGCTTCAGACGAAACAGAGACGACAGTCCTTGAAGCGAAAGAAACTGGCACAGAAGAGGCCAAGGAATAAAGCAGCTTTTGAAGATACAATTTTCAGTTTTTTATATGTTTGCATGTTAGATTTCTACAAGACTTCTACAAGACGTTCATGGCTCATGTTTGGCCGCATCGATAGCAGAGATGGCATTATGTGCGGGGACACAAGAATACAAATCCGTACATTCGAGTAGATATGACTTTCGTACAAGTATACAAAGCGAAAGAATTCGGAATCCTGAGGCCCGATCATCACCATTTGCAGTCAAATTCTACTTTCCTACCGAAATTAAGATGGACTTCCGTGTGGATTGGAAGCACCTGTGGAGTGCGTGGTTAAAATGTCTCAACCGACTTGATCAACTGACTTCCTCTAAGGTACGTCACAACGGATCTTTGGACGACCAATGATGGTTACTCCACCGTGGGCCCAAACTGAAGCTCTACCAGTAACGAAACATCGCAAGAACGAAATCTGAATTTCAAGACGAAAGTAAACATGGATTTGATTGCTGCATGCGATGTTTCAAGCGTGTTTGGGCTCGAGAAGCAGTTCGTGTATACGCATCTTCTGTTGTATGATACAAGTTTACTACGCAATTTGTTACAATGACGTGTTACCCGCAAGTGACTTGTGTTTGCCATAGTTTATTGCTCTCGATTAAAATTTAAGAAAATAATAGTATTAAAGGTGAAAATGTGTAAAATTGTATGGTGTCATTGCATGCTATTTGTAATAAACTAGATTTAATTAACAAAGTTGGGTATTTTGTATTTTTTGCGGGCGGCCTTTCTCCCAGCCGAACAGTGCTTGCAAAA